ACACAGACTGGACTGAAATGCACTGAATTACATGACAAGGCTGTCTCTGTGACTGAAGAAAAAAGCATGAAGTAGAAAGGGAAATCTTACGCTATCAATCACACCTTTGTCCTAAGAGCAACTTTCTTACCTCAGTACCCATTATATTACAGTGTATCTGGTTTATCTGGAGAATGTGTTTCTGTGTATCTGGTTTGTCTGAAGAACTTGTTTCTGTGTGAGGACTCATCTAGTGATTTGCAACTCTTCATTAAACATTTTTTGTTGTTACCTGAGAATAGTGTTATCACAGTCAGATAGAAGTACTGCATTATTAAAAAGGGGGTCAACTCATAAATGAAAGTGACCATAACATGCATGAGAATAAAGGAAAAAGAAAAAAAGAAGAAAAATATCCAAGATTCTCTGCTGTTGAGGATTCCTTCCATACTTCCCACTCCCTCAATATTTGTTTTCAGCTGCCTGGGTGCAACAGCTACATTCAAAGCCTAATTGTAGTCTTTCCTGGCAGGACAGCACTTCAGAGTCAGGGCTAGTGATGAAAAATTACCAAAAACTCAAAGAGAGAAAATAAAAATCACAGAATTGCTGAGGTTTGAAGTGACTGCAATCCAGAGGTTCAGCTATAGATTAGATTCCCCGTTTCCTTTTCCACTGCTGATCTGACAATACTTGACGGTGCTTTTGTCAATACTTTATGTATTCCTCCAAGCAAAGGCCTAACTGCACAAAGTAGAAGCACTTCAGCCATTTTAAAAACATTTTAGGCCAGAATTTAAAAGCATCAAGCCAGGGAGAGGAAAAAAATCAGGATCCCCGGACTCCACAACTGAATTCAAAAGCGAGTATTAATCTTCAGTCCACAACATGTCCTCTTTCTGCTGCAGACTATCTACAGCTTGTTTATCTAGTGCTTAACGTCAACAAAATGTTCCCACCCTTCAATGTGAGAGACACCCTTACATTTCACTCAATTTATAACATGGCACTGTGTCACACAACAAAATTTTTCCCACTTCTGTGCCAGCCCCACTGCATGATCATGTTCATTCAAGGGAATTGCTAAATTACTGTCCCCCTGATTTTTTCTATCCATCTGCAACTGCAGAAATAGAGCAGTGAGTAACTTTGGTATCTCACTGATAAAGCACTGCATTTGATTAGCAATCAATATATCTCTTCCTTCCTACAAGAATATTCTAAAGAAAATATAAAACTATAAATATTTAATTATTCTGTTTGAAAGTGAAGTTATTGATGTATAACAAAATCATCAGCAAGGTACTGTATGATTGTGTGATATTTTCTTTCCACTGATACAGCCAGTTAAGCATACTAAAACACAAACTGATTACACACATACTAGAAGGCGTTTCAGTTTTATGGCAACAAAGATGACAACATCAAAGATGAATACTAAAGTAGCCTTGTGTCAGATACACTATTGTCTCTATTTGTCAGACTATTGTCAGACTTTCTGAATTATCCCAGTATCTTTTAATATAAATTAAAGCATCTAAATAACCTCACTTTAGTCCCTGGTGTGAAAATACTAATAAATCTCTACCATAAAATGTGTCAGAGATACAGAGAATACACAGACTGGTAGTAATTGAGATATTCTAAAGAAATATTTGGCTTAGCAGTTAAATAACATACATGTCTGAATACAAAATTTATATACCCAGACAGCTCGCTTTGATATGTGGGAAATCAAAGCTAGTTAGTACACCTGTGTTTGTTATTTGTGCCCATTCATGTCAAAGAGAAACCACAGCCTTTCCCCCTGCCTCACTGAAAAGATCACAGCCTTTTTTGGGCATAAAAGTGCTGTTGGCATAAGAATTACCAAGTGATTACCAATTATAGGGGTGCTCTGCAAGAAAAATAAACAAGGACTTCAGAGTATCACTTCTGTTCTGGAAATTCAAGGGAGGAATTTCCCCATATAATGACTACATGAAAAACCTTTCTAAAGAGAAAGGCACAATCCCCAACAGGTATTCAGAGGAAGCAGAGAGTCAATCCGAGTTTATGCAAAGGTAAGAGGTACCTCACCTAGCACAGAGGAGAGAGATAACGCAAGAGAGGAAGGCTTTAAGTTCATCTTGACAGTTGCATTTGGGCAGTTTAAATCTTCCCTGGCTGCCCAGGATGCACTCAGGAGTCACAATCCCCAGCCCTGGCCTTTAAGCCTGAATGCTATCAGAGTGTTGGTTTTGTGATCCTCCAATCTGGCAATCTGCAGAGCATTCCACAACTCTCACCCTTAAAAATCAGGAAGATTTGGTACCTAGCCATAAATTAGTCAATGTCCTTCCATTTTTAAAACAGAGGCCCCAACTGTTTGCTTTTTTCAGTTCCAGAAGAGATCCTGCTAGCACTCTTCTCCATTTATTTACAGCAACCATTACAGCTACTCATACCATTCCTGTCTAAGGATGGCCCTTCACAATACTGGACATGCTCCAAAAGTGTATGAGGCAAGGCAACTAACTGCCCTTGCACCCCTTTCCTTTCACTGCCAATTCCAACATGCAGACATCTGAATGTAAAAAGCATCTTCACAGAATGCTCTCCTCAGCTAATCAGATCCCTTCACACTTCCATCTGTAATACAGGTGGGTCACAACAAATCACTAACATAAATATCCAAGACTTTTTTTTTTACAGTATGTGAAGGGTGAATTTCTGGTATACTCTTACTGGGAACAGCAGGAGATGTTTTGGATAGGACTTTGAAAAAAACCCCAAACACATTTAAATTATTTAGGAGCTTACACACCAGCAACTTACAGTGAATTCTGTACTCCTGCATGTCTACTTTCACACTGATTTTGCATGACTAAAAGCTTTTGTGTAATCTTTGATGGTTGCATTCTTAATACCTGTGAGACTGGTGCAACTGTGCAGTGAGTCACAAAGAACCAGGCTGACACCACAGCTGACACAGTTTCACACAAACCTGCTCACACTCAGGAGTGTCTAATGTCTATCTGCACTAGATAAAGATGTATTTTATCTCCTCTAGATGGAATAACACAGTCTAATGTTATTAATCATAAGCTGTCTTGAGGACACATTTTAGCAGATCCAAGGACATAAACACATTGCTGAAACCAGCTGCTAGAAATCCCTCTCCTCCCCCCCTAAAGGCTTTAGCCATTCATCAGGCCTGGGTTAGCTAACAACATTTTCAAGTGTTGCAACGGCATCTGTAACCTTCACGTTACAATCTGAAGAGATGTCTGCTTGATTTGACTGTCAGGCAAGGCTCAGATCTAATCAGTCTGTGTTCTAACTGTCCTGATTACAATATGTTTTGACCCTCTGGTCTCTTGAAATATTTAAATCAAAATAGAATTTTGCTTTGTTCTCAGAATGGGAAGTTGAAGTTGTAGCCTGATTTTTACCATACACACATTTTGCTCAGGATGTGCACATAAAAATTTCACTCAGTGAAATTAAGGCAATGCTCTCTTTTCTCCTTTGCACTTAAACTGGAACTGAACATGTTTTTCTAATTAAAAAAAAAGCATACATAAATACAATGTTTTGGCTTGGGTTTTCTGTGGTTTGATGTTTTGAAATTATATTTGCTTCTCACATGTCAAGACAACTTGAGAAGATATTTACTCAGAACTGTAGAAAAATACAGTGTTCACATTCTTAGTGTGGGGGCTTTGCCTCGCAGATGTACATTCAGGCTTTCAAAGAAACTGTGCATGCAGATTCTGAATCTGTAACACTCAAGAACGTAAAAAAAGCAACTTGCAAAAAATTACTGCATTCCAAGAGGAGCCTGTTTGTTCAGTAGGGCAAGTACTCAACTCTTCCCCTTTCCCTCTGTAGACACAAAAGGGACAGGAAGGAGGTGTGCAGGGTTAGGAATGCAGAACAGGCTGTCATCAGTTAAGCAGAAGCTTCCTGCCATAAAACAGGTAACAGTCCACACAAGTACTACTCCCTTATTTGCTGCTAGGTTCACCCCTCTGCACCTCTGACACAGAGTGCATATTCCACCTCCAGTGGTAAAGAGAGTACAGATCGTACAGAGCAGTTTCTGAGTGGATAAACATACAGTCATTAGACCCACGGTGTCACACAGAAGAAACAAAATAACTAATCTATACACTTAGACATAAAGGATGGTCAAGGAATAGATCCAAATATATCAATCAGTACTAGCTATAATGAGCATGAAAAAAGGACCACCAGGTTTGTTCCAAAATGGTTTCACCAATCATCAGCTATAGCACAACAAACCCTGCCACACAAAGTTTACACCCAAACATCTGAAAACTGTCCACCATCACCTTGCTTTGTACAAATAATACAGGTATTGCCAATACTGATATAGAAAAGTGACTTCTAAGTCATACAACCAGCTTGATCACAGGGCAAAGAATTTTGGTATTGCCTCCCCGCCAAAACATTACCTCCTGGCAGCCTGAGCTTCCTAGCCTGCACACAGGAGAGTGCTAGAGTATTCCTAGAAATGGAAGTTCTGTCAGAGTATACAAAACAATAATTTCCCTTATGCACTGGTCCAGGGACATTTTGATGTCTAAACAAATCATGCTCCATCATTAGCATTTTACAAAGAGCAAATACAGCTAACAAATTACACAGCACCTATGCACATACAATACAAAATTACAAGTGTGCACAGCCCACCTCATGACCGCTAAAGCTCAATAACAAACTTCCAGATCTACAAGTCCTTTGTCTGTGCTTTCCCATGGAGGAAATTGACTGTGCTGCTTAAGTTTGCTAAAACTGGAACCACCAGTATTCTGAATCTTAACGTAAACTATCTCCTATTTAATTCAAGGAAACATAAAATAGAAATGAAAACAACTGACATCTGCCAGTAGGAAAAGGGAATCAAATACTGTCCTAAAATGAAGATTTTCAAGGCAACAGCTGATTTATTTGCTAATCCCAGCATTCAGTCGTGCAGCGTCCGCTGCAAGCACTGATGTGTATGAAACACTAACCTTCATCACTTCAACTTGCAGGTCTTCATTGAGGGAAGGAGTCACTTTGACAGCATTCAGCATCTGATTAAGCAACTGTTTCTCATCTGAGTCTGTTTCCACGGATACAAACCTCTCATCAGACAGCAGCTTCTGCAGAGAGAAAATGGCAATGTACGTGTTGAGACAAAAACTGCCTCTGCAAAGTACTGCACCTAAACCTATTAGGGCTTGGTACTACGGTGGTTAGGCTCTCTGTCTAAAATTTTCAAATTAATTCAACAATATAAAATACAAGAAAAACAGCAAAACTGGGAGATCTGTGTCATGTCAGTTGTCATTCCAGTATCATCTCTGCCCATCCCACATCCCCAGTGCCTAGAAGGAAGCAGACATCAGTAACAGATATCACTTCAAATAATGTCCTTAGCAAAACCTCTCAGTATTTTAGAAGCTGGGAGAGACTGGAACCTTTACAGCCCCCCAGATCATCAAAACAACAACAAGAAATAAAAACCCCACTCAGGCTAGCATCCTGGCATTGAACTAGTGCTATTAGATCTCCTGCCCAACAGGAGACAGTCACCTACTGTCCCAATTACTCCAATAGGGTACAAGTGCTGTGGAGGTGGCGGTTTTGATTCCTGGCAAGATGTGTTTTGTGTAATACAGAAGTTGACCACTAATGGATACAATCAAGTCCTCAGACAAAGAGCACAGTTAACAAGTGAAAAACATAAACACACATAGAAACCAACCCAAGCTGAGGTGGTATCAAAATTCCTTGTCCCGACATTGGGCTGGCTGAACTGAATTCAATGCAGACTGACTGAACCTCAGACTGAATATTTTAGACTGATCAGATTTACTTTGTCCAGTATCTCAGAAACTATCTCCTGACATCATCAATGGCACTATTTCCTCGGAGTTCTACTAGATATGCCTCTTCCATATAGTCTGTAACCACCTTCATGGGTGTCTCCTATTAGTGGCATGCATCCTGCAAGAGATGTGTCCACAGAAGTCTTTTCCCAGCTCCTATCTCCTCAGAAGATCCCACAACACAGCAAAACTAGCTTGTCTTAGATCCCAGGAACACAACCTTGCTCTGTCCTAGTAGAGAGAGACTTTGAGCAGCCCACTCCCTCTCTATATTCTGCATCACCTTCGTACTGATGCTCATCCTCAGCTCCAACATTGCAGCACATTTCACTGGTTCATTCCTACTTCTTATTTCCTATGCTTGTACTGGTTTTGGCTCAGATAGTGTTAATTTTCTTCATAGGAGCTCAAAGAGTGCTGTGTTTTGGATATGTGACCAAAACAGCACTGATAACACCCACGTTTTGCTATTGCTGAGCAGAGCTTACACAGCCTCAAGGCTGCCTGTTTCTCAGACTGGTTCCCCAGCAAGTAGGCTGGGGCTGCAGAAGAGTTTGGCAGGGGACACAGCTGGGACAGCTGAGCCCAACGTGACCACCGGGATATCCCAAACCATATGACACTGTGCTCAGCAACAACATCTGGGCAAAGAAAGAGGAAGTGGAGGGGACACAGGCATTCAGAGTTAAAGTATTTGTCTTCCAATGTAACAGTTACCCATGATGGAGCCCTGCTTTCCTAGAGATGGCTGAACACTTGCTGCTCCATGGGAAGTGGTAAACGAATTCCACATACTCTTTTATTTGCACATGCAGCTTTGCTTTCGCTATTAAACTTTGTCTTAGCCCACAATTTTCCTCACTTTTACCTTTTTACACTTTTACCCTCCCCTACCTCTGAGAGGGAAGGAGTGAGTGGGTAAAGCTGAACTGCCAGCCAGGGTTTAACTCAGAATGTTTTACAGCATTTCCCACATACCAGAATATCAAGTGTTTTAGCACTGTACAGCCTAATGAGTTAACTCAATCTGCAATGACAATAATGGGGTTTTCTGTACAAAGAAGAATGTTTAGTTCAGGATGGGAGATATGGAGCTGCTGGAGTCCAGTGCTAAGATGACAAGGGAACTAGAGCATCTCTCTTATGAGGGAAGGCTGAGAGCTGGGACTGTTCAGACTGGAGAGAGAAGGCTCAGGGAGGATCTCACCACTACATATAAATATCTGAAGAGTGCAAAAAGAACAGACAGAAGCTTTTCAGTGGTGCCCACTGACAAGACAAGAAGCTCTGGGCACAAACTGAAACACAGAAGGATTCCTCTGAACACCAGGAACAAAATTTACAGTAAGGGTGATCAAGCACAGGTTGTCCAGAGAGGTTGTGGTGTCTCCAGCTCTGGAGGCACCTCGTTTCCAGTCTGAACCACCCCTGCTCTCAGCCCTTCCTCATAAGAGAGATGCTCCAGTCCCTTTGTTATCTTAACAGCCCTTCCCTTCTACAACCACACTGTGCCCCAATATGGGGAACTCTCTAACCAAGTGTCTGACACCTCATATGCTGGAAAAAGTGAATTTGAATGATCCACTTACATCCTTATATTCCCAGAACAACTTCTTTCTGGCCTTCCAAGAGAAAAAATTCTTTTTGGAAAATGGATCTTACACCCCAGCAGTGTGCCAGCCTTTTCCACAACTAGCTTCCCCCAGTAGTAAGTATTTACTGACTTGTACTCATTTGTCCAATTAAAAGAACAGTAAACTCCTTTAGTTTTTATACTATCAAAGCCAGGAGAGCTTTTTTGTTGCTTGTGCTGCACTGCTGTTTTCTTTTGCAATTTCACAGACTTCCAAATCAGATGCTGTTTCTAGTGTTTTCAGTGTACAAAAAACCCAGAGAAGTGCCCACACATAAAGAACACAGCTCCCAGATCCTCTATTAACCTCTCCATCTTCCAAGCACTGCTGTCCTCTTTTCTAATCAAAGAAAACAAAGTCCCAGCCTAATTTCTCAGATGCTTATCAGTGGCAAACTTTTCTGGGAGTAGCACAGGGCCCACAAGGAAGAGTACATCTACATTTCAATGTTAAAATCCAGGACCTCCCACCTATCTGCAAAACATTTTTAGCTTCTTCAAAATCACCAGCCTTTACTTTGCATCCTAACTTTGGAACAGAAATGTGAACTTTGTTGTTAGGTTCACCCGAGGACAGATGCTTTTTCTGTAGCATTTTTCAAAAGAAAAGCTCAGATTTTCTTGACACCCACTGCTCACGAACACACTCCCACTCTAAAGTCATACCTGCATCCCTGCTAGAGCCTGTTGGGCCAGCTTCATGCTCTTTGATTCCAGAGCCAGTTGAAGAGGAAGGAGACACTTCTCCCTAAGGAAAATTTTAAAAAATGAGAGGGAAAATTGCAATTAAAATTGGTATCCAAGTAACATTCCAGAAGGGCTGTATCAGTTTCAGAAAGGTCATGCTTGCATACAGCATCCAAAGATAATTTCACAATTCTGTGAAGCACTTTTACCCTCTAAAGAAAGCTGGTATATTTCATCACACACTTCACACATCTCTAATCCAGAAAGTACCTTTAAGTGCTTTTACATTGTGACTTTGTTATATTCCCTCTGTTAAAGTGATGAGAACTTGCATTTGAAATCAGCATACCAACAGGTGCCAAAACAAGGTATTAACTGCTAGCCCAGCAGCCAGACACAAACAGGAAAGAAAGAAGGAAAAAAGATTACTACAGTGTATAGTACTAACTGAAGGATGCTAAAAACTGATGGTTATTTGGACCTGTATCTCTTCTAGGCAGAACACCACATTTGTTTTAGACTTTCTACAAATTTTGCAACAGCATATAAACGTTTTGGGCATTATTAATACAGAATGAATTTATTCTCACATTAAAGTGGATGAACACTGGGAGGAGAGGGGAAAATGAAGAAAGTCGTAAGCCACTGGAGTGGATCCAGTTCAGTTTCATGATAATGAAGACAGGTGGGAGCTCCTATGGCTTATGTGTAGCTACCTCGCACATCAGCATGTTGCCTGCCATCTGTCATCACATACTGCAATGAGCAGAGAACAATAAGAGCTTTGATAGATGTCCCAAAAAAGAAGAGAAAAAAATGACAAACAGGAGGATGGAAATTAGAACAGATTCAATTAGCTGAACTTCCCATCCTTGCTAAAAATGTTTAACTGAAAATCTAATTAAGGTTGCTGCAGACTGTGTTCCCACTGTATTCATGGAGAAAATGAATTGCCGTTGTGTCATTTCCTGTTCTTGTTACACACTCAGTCAATTAAGCCTTTAGCATTTCCATGCTACAGCTATGAAACACCTGCAGAGATATCTTACAATGTTTGATTAGCTTGAGCACCCTTCACAGTTCAGTTCAACTTGCCATTTAAATGCATCATCTGATAGCATGAGAACATGAAGGACAGGCAGATAATCCTCAGGCAGAACAGGAGAGAAGGATGTCAATTAACACAGTCCCTTCTAACATCTTAAGAATTCAGTTCAATAAGGCTGCAAAATAGGGAATGCAGATTGGAATTACCTCAATGGATTTGAGTGCAGTGAAGTAAGGGAATGAGGTTTGCCCTTATTATCTTGCAGCCCTTTTATAATTCTACTCTGTTTTGAGCAGTCCCCCACCATGGGATTTCATTGCTTACTGCACCGTCTGCAGTTCTGTATGGTTAAGTGACAATTCATGCAGGTTTTGTAGTACTACACATGTAAGACATTTTACATAAGTGAAATAATTCCTTATTCCTCAGAATAAGCTGATGCACAACAATATACTTCTAAACATGTTTAAGAACATTCTCCATTTACATAATGTACAGAAAGTAGTTTCACCCTGTAACTCTTGAGTATCCATACTGTTGCATGCCAGTGTGGACATACATACACATACAGTTTGAGGCACAAATACCAACTTAACCCTGATTGAAACACATCAAGTGCAACACAGAGGGAGAATGAAAGGAAAGGAACACCTTTGACTTGGAAGAGAGGAAGATATCTGCCAGGGCAAGCAAAAAAGCTCAGCAACAGAACCAAGTGCGTAACCCAGGGCCAGTACCTCCCAGAGCACAGGCTGTCCCTCCTGAACTACCTCACTCCATGACTGTCAACTTTGCCAACTGCAGAATGAGTGATGGGAACACACACCTCCTTTATATTCAGCACACTAGGTTACAATGACCTTTCTAGCTGTCCAAGCTTGCTGTGGCTTGTCAGCCTATCAAGCTACCTCCTTCCCTGCAGGTCTGGAATAAGGGATGCTATGGCAGGTCAGTCAAAACAGACTGCCAGAAAGGTCAGAGCAAGACAAATTACTATTGTACGTAGAGAGATCATAAAAATCATTCTATTCTCATTGTCATGACAAAAAAAAAGCCTTTAGTGAGAAAAGAATAATGGCTCATTAATTCACTCTCATGATAAAAACTGTAATGAAGATAGAAAATTGCCTAAACTTAACTCCTTGTTGTTAGTGCCTGGAACACAGTCTCACAGCCCACCTTCCCCTCCTTAACTTAGGGAAAGGGGCATGATAAATGAAGCATTTTTCCCTTCATGCAAGTGGTGATAATCCTATTATTTTAAGACCATTTCTGAAAATTCAAGATTAAAAATAAGACAGCTCTCTGCATTACCTTCCTACTGAAAATTACATAGGAGAAGCAAAATTCAGAACCTCAAGACCTTATCAGCATCCAGTTTGCATTCCATAGAATAATTCACAGCCCAGTGAAAAAACAGATAAGAATTTGATTCACCACTGTTGCCACTTTCTGATACACTTTATTAGGCAGGATAACAGTCATAGCCAAAGTCTGACATACAGTCAGAGTAACCAAGGACTGAAAAGATTTTCTCCACCTAGGCTGCTTAAAAAGAAGTAGCACAGTGTAATATTATTAGCATCACTTACTCAGGAAGAAGAGTTGGCCCATGATGAGAAAATAATTGGTAGAGACGAATTCTCAGAATTCTGCAAGTACCCACAGCTGCTACCCTTATGTAAAACAAACAGAAGTAAACACTGTCCTTGCACAAATAGGAATGATTTCATTTACATAAAACAAATTCTAGTGTTGTATATATGAACACATGTACATATAAAAATAGAAACATAAATCTTTTTTCCTATACTAGTTTAGAGAACATTGATAAAAGATTCCACCAACAAGTTTAGGCATAATGGAAGTATTTAAAACCTGGACTAGTCCTTGCTCACATTGTAGAGAAATGATTAATGCAGAAATATGATCATCCCACTTACAAAGAGAATTACAGTCAAACTCATGTTGGAGAGAGGTTTGGAATCCACAGTATATAAATACAGGGCAAGTTCTCCCACCTCCACAAAGCAGGAAGTCAAACAAGATGATTACAACAGACCCCTCCAGCACTAAAATTTCTACCTCTATGCAAGTACAAGTTTGTCAACAGTACTCAGAGAAATAATAGAGCAATAGGATAAAAGACAAATTCTGAAGCCTTCCAGTCAGAATCCTCCTTTTCAAGAAGAAACAAGCCAACAAATTATCTTTATGACAATGTGCCACTACAAGATGATTATGCACCGTTAGACAACTTTGGTGCTACCGTGCTGTATAAGAATGAACAAGCACTCAGTGTTGCAGTTTACAGGTCCTGGGGAAAAAAAAAAAAAAAAAAAAAAAGAAAACAGCTGAGAGACTGTTACCAAACTATGTAGATATAAATGCTGACTTGCACCAACAGGGCCAGGATTTTACTCCAGTTACTCACAAATATAGAGACACTTGTGGGCATGTTTCCTGTGTCATGAGATTTGCCTCATATATTTTCACATATCAGGTGAGCTTCCACCTTTACTAATAACTAAAGAAATTTTAATTTCTGGCTAAAGGCCTTTTCATTTTTTCTGTCTCACCACTTGCATCTTATTTTTTTTAAAATCTCATTCTTTTCCTTTCTACAGAGCACAAAACTCTTTGGTTTTATCCAGTTATAATGGAAAGGATTTTTCTCCTCTGACTTAAGGTTAATGCTCCTTTTCTTTCCATATCAAATTTTCTCACCTCAGCTGCTGACATCAGCTCTCTCTCAGAGTTCCATCCAACTCAGTATTTAATTTTTCCTTCCTCTTTTTTCATGTATTCCCTCTTTCCTTCAATCCTTTTGTTTTTCAAACCCAGACACAAAGTGTTCACCCAACAGTTAAATAAGCCTGCCTTTGCAGGGAAGTATGAGCAGCTTATCAGAGGATGTTTAATGACACAGGGGGAAAAAAAGGCAGAATAACGCCTAAATGTAATTTCACACAGTTTCCTAGCTAGAATGAATAATTCTTTTTTCAACCTGGAATCATGAATGAGATTGCAATTTAAAACTGCTTGGTATTAAAGAAGTGACATAATGGTATTTATAATCTTTTTTATTTGCATCCTTTCTAAGATAAATGAAGTTACCACTATAGAAGCAGCACAACTCTACTCATGGGAAAGGCAAACATGAGCAATTTAATCTTCCAGCCAACCCAGTGCAGCCAAGACCACAGAATTCATACCATCATAATTAAGTAGCTCAGCACAGTCACTCAGCTGGAGAGCGCTTCTGAGGTCATTTGCCTCCTTGCTATACTAGCTAATAACATCTTGATTTTAACAGAAACACAAAGTTCCTAGATAGGAACTTGTCAAGATGAGAACAAAACAGAACAAAAAAAACCTATAAGCACAAGACATACTTTTACTTGAAAGGAGAGGAAGAGAGACAGCAAAAGATTCCACAGAATATTAAAGTAAGGTGGACAAGGCAAAAACAATAATCAGATGCTTCTAGTCTCCAAAGCTTTAGTGTAATCACTGACACGTTATCATTGCTCTCTACCCCCACAGATATTTGCCCTTTGTGCACAAGGTGTCAATAGTCACTTGCAAATTCTACTCTTAAAAAGCTTGATGACACATGTAAACCTCACCAAGTCTTAATCATAAAGCAATCCATAGCCTTTATGTGAGTTTGTTGATTATGATTTGAATTGGAGTATGAAGATGAGAAGCTGGACTTGTTCAGTCTACAATTTTGATAGCTTATCAAACTACTCCATGAAACCTCTCTTCCCTATATTTGGTAACTCTGGAAGATTTGTCCAGTGAAAGCATTTTGTTTGAAATTTTAAGCACAAAATAACAAACAAAGTGTTTAATGAGAATTAAGCTTCCATCAGGAGAAGTTTTGCAATGCTGGAAGAAAGCAGGCTGAGGGAATGGAAAAAGAGACACAGAGGTACCATCACATGGACATTCTGCAAATTACCTTATTTTCTCCACTGCAGCTGTGAGTTACAGAAACCAGATGAAGA